GCAGCTGAACAGCTAAACAGCTAAGCAGCTGAACAGCTAAACCGTTGAACAGTTAAACAACTGCTACATCTATACTAAGATACTAAAACTTCATCTTATGTTTGCAGGAGAGAGACCGTACAAGTGTGAGACGTGCGGGAAAGGGTTTACGTTGGCAAGCACGCTGAACACGCACCGGCGCACGCACGCCGACGTGAAACCGTTCTCCTGCCAGCACTGCAGCAAGGAATTCTATCACAAGAACGCCCTGAAGAGCCACCTACTGGCGAGCCACCCTTACACGGGAACTAACATTCTCTGAATCGGGGGCGTGCGAGTATGCCGGAGACTGAGGAAGAGCACGCGGACAGCTACGGTTGGCCGTGAAGCCTGTAGGCGGAGATAGCGCCTCGTTCATCCTCCGTGATGCAATCATGTAGCAACGCCTCCTCATGAATCGCGCGCATGCGCATTGCAAGTGGGAAAGCGCGCGTCGGAGACCTCACGTTGTAATTTATTAGTAGACACATTATTACTGCTTCCCCCCCTCCCCCCGGTCACGAGTGATTCTGATGATGATCGTTTTCATTATGTAAATTCGTTTTTTTTAAAAATGTAAATTCGACTGCTTATTAATGCTAGAGTAGGCAGCAGCCTGTTTCTTTATGATTCGTTGGGCGTTAGGTTTGCCTCTTATCGTGTGGTGGTCGCAGCGGAGACGATCCGGGTTCTATCTATTGGGAAGGGTAAGGCGGAAGTGCGACCTTCTTTCTCAAGATACCCTGCATCACTCCTCACTCTAAGTTTTCTATAAGAGTTGAATGTGGACAGTATGAACGCACGCACGTACGCACGAACGCACGCATGCACGCGCGCACGCATTCACGCACGCACGTACGCACGAACGCACGCACACACACACACACACACACACACACACACACACACACACACACACACATAAACACAAACAAACAAACAATCATACACACACACACGGACAGAGAGAGAGAGAGGGGTGTGAGAACATCGAATAGAAATTAAATAATATGTCCATGCACTCTTCGTGCCTAGCATGCATCAGAAAACGCCATTTCCGTGCAACGTTCTCGTAATGTCATGGGTCTAAAACACCCTAACAAGCAGCTTTGTTATGTTTACTACTAACAGTCTAATTCCAAAAACAAACATGGATTTTATAAGACAATATTATAAAGCCATGTAGGCCGATACCTAGGATTGTCATTTGCACGTTTCGTACATGAAACTAATCCCGATTGAATTCATTTAATAAATGATTGAAAATGTGCTTAAAATTACGAAAAAAACACAGGTAAAGATGAATTAATCTAGAAACGTAATATTGATTATCAGAGGATATCATCTCATGTAATATGATTTCCAGTGCCTTTATCGAAAACATGAAATAAAAATAATTCATGCTTTGTAATTTACCATTTACATGAAGGCAAAACGTATTTTACTAATCGACCTATTATTTAATTCTGTAATTTATTTATTATGTGTTATTGTGAATTTATGTGTACGCGTCAGGTAATATTCAAAGGCAGGAAGCCTTTATTATTAAACTAATTTCCGAACTCGTGTTATGTATAACGCATGAGCTGCAAGGCATTTATATGCGATCCTATTATATTTATTTAGCTAAGATGTATATATCAAAATGTATATAATATGTGAAAATAAAAAAAATACTATGGATTTTTGCTTTATATGTTGCTGTTTGCATTGTCTACATGTTAACAATGTTGCTTAGTAGATATGTCAAGGCCATGCGCACGCATACATATATACACTCTGTGCATTGATTTCACACGCACACAACAAATAAAAATAAATGTTTTTCATTTAACTCATTTTATTGTAACAATAACATTATAAAAGCGTTAAAATATTTCTGTAAAACGATAACAACGAGTAAAGTGACATAGCATTAACATGCGACTGATGTGCCATATTAACACTGAACTAGCCAGCCACCCCAAACCACAAGTAATTCTATGCAACCGTGTGCAAAACTGAAAACTGCGAACAAATAACCGTGTTAATTAATTACAGATGATTAAACACGTATTGCCGCCGGGGAACGTGCGCGCTAATTACCAGCATCCGCTATAACCGATGTTTAGATAATGTAACTCTAAATAACCCGCGAAGAATGTTACAATTATTAATTGTTAATGATAGCTTATTTACACTCGCTCTAACCTTACAGTTACAGTAACGTCAGACATTAAAACAATTACGCCACGTGTGAGCAATACGATGTGATATCAGAAGGTTATCATATAAATTCAGATGTTACTGCATGAGTACTAGGTCTCATTCGTGTTAGTTGCATGGCATCTCCATGGTTTTAGTGAACAACGCAGAAGCCGGATGCATACAACGTATGTTGATTATAAAGCTCGACTTAAATTAATTTGCACCAGTTAGTCCATATTTAAGAGTTTGTGTATCTCGAGCCCTCGTAAATGTTAGTTGATCATCAATGCAGTTCCAGATGTTAGTTCCATTTTACTTTGTTATATCTTTGGCAAATAGTTCCGGTCACGCAAACCCAGTATAAACCCATATATATATATATATATATATATAACAAATGCACTTAGCCGATAACAAGTTAGGCAATAAATATCACACGTTAAACGTTAAATAATACCCGCGAATGACGACGCAGTGTGAGTTTCATACATCATGAAGAGGGGCCGTGGTGCTGATCACGATGAAAATTATGGTTAGTTCGGTGCAATGAAGCTGATTTACACAAGCGGATAACATAATGCATGGTTATTTTTACACGGAGAAAGTTCGCGTAAACATTTCACTCAATGCTCATCGTCTCGCTGCTGCTTGCTTGAAAGCATACGCAGAGACGAGCAATAAAGACACGATGAAATGTTTACGATGACACCTGCATCAGAGTCTCTTCCGGTAACCGGAAACCGCGAGCGTGTCACCCGGGTTGCGAATCATCAACGACGTCGATACTCGATCAAATCTATAGCTAATGAATGTCGACAGGTGTCGCCACATTACGTGTTGTCATCTAGGTCTGTCTCTCGCCAGTCGTGGGTAGTAGTAGGGTTCGGGGGTTCATGCTGCTTGACACCGTCTACCACGGAATGTACGAGATAGGTGAGAAAAGCTTCCTATAGTAGAGTCCGGCGGTCGGCGCGAACGAGCTGTGTCCCCAAGCTTTGCCCTTCACGTAGTTGTTGTTCAAGTGCTTGCCGTAGAAGTCTTTAGCGTATTTGTTTCTGCGAAGAACGAGCACGGCGTTGATGAATGGGTTATATTTGCGAGATTGTTGCTCAGAAAAAATCTCAATCCGAAAAAAATATAGTAAAATATAGTCTGACCTCGCAGCGGATATATCACTGAACTTGAAAAACACTAAGATGTTACGCAGTTATAGCCGAATCCAATGAGGTATACGGCTCAATAATGCCAATAGGGCCAAAGATGTAAATGAGGCAAGGGCAGGATATTCCGCATGTTGATACTCACTGGTAGGCGTTGTTATCGCCGCGGTTGTTATACTGCGTGTTGTAGTACTGTCCGATGTTCCTGTCGTTGTAGTAGCCGTTATCCTTGTAGTAGTTGCCGGCGTGTCTATTGTTTTGGCCGTGGTGTCTCCCGTGCTTGTTGCCATGCGCGTGAACCTTGTTGATATTGTTGTGGTAGGGCGAGATGAGAGGACCCAGCACGCCGTGTGGAAGACGGTCGGGCAGGCCGTACGTGCTGCCCCTGTTACCGTAGTAGTCTCCACCTACACCCGGGTATCCGCCGACACCCTGATTACCATACCCAGATGAGTACACCTACAAATGAGAGAAGAAGAATGACAGATGAAGAAATGGCAGAAGGTGCATCGGTTATGTAGACGCAATCTAATGATAACATGACGATAATATGTGTGCCGAAATTATAAAACTAATTATTGAATATTAACAAACGAATCACGTATATTGTCACGTGTATGAATAAAGCACGATTATAAATTATTGTTATAATTTCACACGAAAAAGAACCGCACGGCCATATTAATGATCTCTGCTCGATAGCATTGCAAGTATAAAATACTAGATTTGAACCTTGTCGCATTAACCGAACCCGTAAGAATAATAACAATTAGAGACAGTACAAAGGTCACGGTGATGGATGGCACTGCTTCAATCCGACAACTTAACCATGTGCTAATGTTAGCCTCAGAAAGTCGCGGCACTCGAGTGTTATTATTAACTGCGACGAACAGTCAGCGACACAAATCCGGACCCTGTCATTGACCCGAGGGTGTGTGTGACACACACGGGAAGTGATTTCGATCGTTGACCGAGTGGCGACAGGTGGCGTAACCGGCGGTGGTGATAAACAACGTCGAAAATGCGGAAACGTTCGTGTGCTAATGGCTATTGCGGTTCAACGAAACTCACCAATTGAAGAAGGATCGCAGCAACGGCTGCCACCAACAGTCCTTCCATGTTTGTTACCTAAAGGCAGGGGTGAGGCAGTGGATTAGAAGTCTTAGACGGAAACTGTCGCATCATATCTATCATAACACGGTCGTATTTAAACGTGATGGATAAACGTACACGTACTATGTAACGATATGTATCATATGAGACTATATATACCGTACGTGCTTATATGTCTATAGTAAATGTTGAGCAATGCTATGGAAACTAAACAGCAAAACGTTGTCAAAATTAAAATAAAAGACCCATTGATATGGATTTTGGTTAATTACTTAAAAATGATACACCGACAAATTAAGCGCGGTCAAAGAACGGTAACGCACGCACGCGCATACACACGCGCGCTCGCACGCACGCACGCACGTTCATACCCACACGCGCACGCACTTGCGAACCAACGCACGCACGCGTGCACGCTCACATCATATACATCCACATTAAACTGAACACGTATATACACTATAGAGTCTACAAACACACCGACACCTTTACCCGACCTCTAACTCACGTTGAACAACTCAACGTGGTTCAACTCACGCAGTTCCGTATCTCGATGTCTTACCTTTAGCTGCTGATCTGCTCGCGCTACTCTCTCAAGACACGACTGCTGAAGTAGCCAGCGCACCTGCGCTTATATACCGTGTCAAAGTGTCACCTGCGCGACGACCGTTGACGAGTCGCGTGCGACAGGACTCTAGCACCAGTCGTTGACACGGCTGTTTATGGCACAGTGACCCATATCGCGTCACCGCGCAAGGGGTCGAGACTCTCAAGAGTTGCTCCACACATCGAGGTTGGTGTGGTTGTGACACCTGAGCGCGAGAAGTTTCACTGACCGGCAGAACTTGATGGAGATTGTAGGGTGTCACGGAGAATTAGGCACACCTGCGACCTGCATGCCGGACGGGTAATGGCCTTACATGCCTCATGTGCGTGTCGCATCGCACCGTGCTATTTCACTTTTTATTTTCATGTTATTCGCGGGGAAAGTGCCGAGTTGTAGCGAGATTGAATTCACTTGTTGTCCCTCGGAAAGCGTTGAGACTGGTAGAAAACGAGTGGTGAGATCTGTGGCGAGATATTGAGTCTGGCAGGAATTCGTTGTTGACATTAAGAAAGCGTTTCAACTGATGGAAAACAAATGGTCACAGAATCGGTTATTGCATGTTGGCCGAATTAAAGTCAATCATGACAAAATGATGAACAAGAAAGTTGAAATACGAAAACGTGATTGTTTATTACGCTTTGAATAAAGAGAGGTTACGAGTATTCACGCAAATATTTCGACTTCGCAAAACCAGTACAAAACGATGGAAAGTACATAATTTATTATGCGAGAAAACAACACACATATAATAGATGAAAACTTTTATTCAGTTTATTATATTTATATCCGTTCCTTCGCCTATTTGATCGAAGACCTTATCCTGACGTCCTTCTACTTCTCCAACCATCTACGTTCAGTTCTATCGCCGGGTAAACTATTTCAAATTTTTCTCACCAAAGCATTAACGCCCACGTAGTTTTCCTGCAGTCGATTCTAGCCGAGGGCGGGGGGTTAAACGCGTTTCAACCGAAGAGAAATGAGTGCAGAGAGAAAGTTGCGAAACGGAGCAAATTTCGCGCATAAATCTTTAAAAGTGGGCCGAGACTCATTATTCCGCTGAAAAATTGCATTTCGTCGCGAAGTTGCGTCGTCGCGCAAAGTCGGTCAGTAAACCAGTCACTTGGCCTCTATATATAACGACACTCGTGTCGCGAGCTGCCGGTAATATCCTGTTTGGTTATATTTCTCACAAAATGCGAAACCGTTAGAGTGTGTGTCCCGCAGCGAAGTGCTGCAAGAACCTATAGGCAAGCGGACGAGCGAGCGATTCTTACAAACATACACGACAAATTATGAATCCATTATATAAATTACGGACTATTACAAGCTATACAGGCCATTACGAACTATACATCAATACTATAGCGCTGTTACAATCCATACGGTAATAATAGCGCTATATCAAACTATATATCATTACTAGGGCTGTTACAAACCATACGGTAATACTAACGCTATATCAAACTATATACCAATACTATAGCGCTGTTACAATCCATACGGTAATAATAGCGCTATATCAAACTATATATCATTACTAGGGCTGTTACAAACCATACGGTAATACTAACGCTATCGCAAACTATATACCAATACTATAGCGCTGTTACAAACCATACGGTAATATTAACGTATATCAAATTATATACCAATACTATAGCGCTGTTACAAACCATACGGTAATACTAACGCTATATCAAACTATATATTAATACTAGCGCTATAGTAAACTATATATCAATACTAGCGCTGTTACAAACCATACGGTAATACTAACGCTATACCAAACTATATACCAATACTAGGGCTGTTACAAACCATACGGTAATACTAACGCTATATCAAACTATATATTAATACTAGCGCTGTTACAAACCATACGGTAATACTAACGCCATATCAAACTATATATCAATACTAGCGCTGTTACAAACCATACGGTAATACTAACGCTATATCAAACTATACATCAATACTAGCGCTGTTACAATCCATACGGTAATACTAACGCTATATCAAACTATATTACAATACTAGGGCTGTTACAAACCATACGGTAATACTAACGCTATAGTAAACTATATATTAATACTAGCGCTGTTACAATCCATACGGTAATACTAACGCTATACCAAACTATATATCATTACTAGGGCTGTTACAAACCATACGGTAATACTAACGCTATATCAAACTATATATCAATACTAGGGCTGTTACAAACCATACGGTAATACTAACGCTATATCAAACTATATATTAATACTAGCGCTGTTACAAACCATACGGTAATACTAACGCTATACCAAACTATATACCAATACTAGGGCTGTTACAAACCATACGGTAATACTAACGCTATCGCAAACTATATATTAATACTAGCGCTGTTACAATCCATACGGTAATACTAACGCTATAGTAAACTATATATCAATACTAGGGCTGTTACAAACCATACGGTAATACTAACGCTATAGCAAACTATACACCAATACTAGCGCTGTTACAAACCATACGGTAATACTAGCGCTATAGTAAACTATATATCAATACTAGGGCTGTTACAAACCATACGGTAATAATAACGCTATATATATAGCAAACTATACACCAATACTAGCGCTGTTACAAACCATACGGTAATACTAACGCTATATCAAACTATATACCAATACTATAGCGCTGTTACAAACCATACGGTAATACTAGCGCTATAGCAAACTATATATCAATACTAGGGCTGTTACAAACCATACGGTAATACTAACGCTATATCAAACTATATACCAATACTATAGCGCTGTTACAAACCATACGGTAATCCTAGCGCAATAGCAAACTATACCTCAGTATTAGCGCTGTTACAAACTATTATAAGCTATACAGGCTATTACAAACCACATCAATACAAGCGTTGTTGGTTATTACAAACCACATCCATACAAGCGTTGTTGGTTATTACAATCCATTTATATCAATACAAGCGTTGTTGGTTATTACAATCCATTTATATCAATACAAGCGTTGTTGGTTATGAGAAATAATACATCAATACTAACGTAATATCGAGCAGAAGATTGGACTGGAGGGCAGCACAATATGAACCATGCACGAGGGACTGGCAGCAAACGCGTGGTTTAACATCATTCTAAGCACATCGTAGTAACAAATGTACATTTAATGTTATTTTATGCACGTGGTATTGTGACCTATGTGCCGATAATTAAGCTACAACGACATTAGCACATTAGCAGGACCTGACGTGTCTAAACACATCATTACGGAGCTGAATCTCGCCCATTAAATTAAATATAGCCCTGATAATATGTTGGTTTATGTGATGTACAAGAAGCAATGAAAATGTATCGCGGAAAATTGTTTAGGCGTGTATCGCGCGCTTAGTCATGCATTCTAGATACACTTAAGCTAGCAGCACACTTCACCATTTTCGTTGCTCGTACAGGCAATTTTCGTGGTCGGCAATTTTTGTGGCCGTTGCCGCGTCACAGCACACTTTACCACAAGTTGCCACCACGAGCAATTTTCGTGGTGAGAAATCAAACCGGTTTGATTCTCGGCAACTCGTGGTCACCACTAAATTTCCGTGGTGAGTGGTCGTTGCCGGCCCCTGCACACTTGGCCATTTTTGTGGCGACCACGAAAATTGCCTGTACGAGCAACGAAAATGGTGAAGTGTGCTGCTAGCTTTAGACATGATGACAGCTAACAATGCAGCGTACTTTCTAAATTGTAAATCTTGTTTAGTTATATTCTGTCCTGCTGACAATTTTAGGAGTTTTTATTTTATTTTGAGACGCTATCTCATAAGGATTAGCGTATGTATTAACCGTTATAACATGTTCATTATTACACCCAAAATCACCGGATTACAAACACATAATTTATGTTCCCCCTTACTAAACGTGTTATATATAACAATATACAGTTATATATAACAACAAATATATACATCAGAGGACCCTCCAGGCTCCATCTAACATTTGCTCTCATTTACCGAATAAAGAATCACTGGTATTGTACAAAAACCTGTAGTAAAATAAGGGGCATTCTTACAAATTGACACAATCTCTACCGCTAGATGGCAGTCCAACACCGCTCAAGTTGTCTAAATCGCACCGACAACGTTGATTTATAACTCTGTTTCAACTGGAACGAAATGTAGTGTAGGTATTGCGCTATGGCCTCAAGAAACTAAACGTTATTGGTAAACTTTACTTTTTTCTGAAACCGAGGGATAAAACCATAAAGATATTGGGGAATTTGCGATATTCATTAGTGATTATTTTTTAAATATACATGCATACATATCAGAAGTAGATAATAGGGAATAGTTCCCTATTATCTACTTCTGATACATATGTGTATATGTGTATGAATATGTGTATATATAGTGTTCTGATACTATGCGTGTGTATAGAAATAATAGCACAAGAAAAAGCCGATGTTATATATCAACAATAAAAACAATATATTTATTAATATAAACAATAGCTGCTACATTCCAAACGTAACAAGTCCGTAACTGGAATAACAATGCAATACTGCATGAAATGAAGTTTTGGTATGAGCTCAATACAAGTCAACATGACAAAACAGCTGAAAATCATAATATCTAACTTGATATATTCCGTTAGACACTACTCTGTAGAAAATGCTGTAGAGTATTTTTGTTAAAAGTATAATAATAATAAAATAACAATAGGCTCAGTTAAAGGCACGAGTTAACACATCAATAGTTATTAACTGCACGGTCATAATTAATATCTAAATCTATATTATGATCCTAATCGGAGGATCACATAATTTAAACAGTGTAAAGTTTGTGGCGTTCCGCATTTCTTGACTGTAACATCGTCAAACCTGCGTGTTCATTGGTTGATCTTTCGGCAAACAAGTTCGCCTTCTATATAAAAATTTGCGAAACGTGATGCATCCCCCGTGTATGCTTCATTTTATTGTTAGTGAACGAGTGCGAACGAAAAATAAGCTCGAGTAAAATAAGCTTAATCTAGTAGATATTTACACTCATTCAAGATGGCGGTTCTCACGCTCGGTTCACACTCGGCACACTTCGACCGATACCGTACATGCATTCAATGATGTTTGTACGAACGTTTCCGATGTGAGCCGAATGGCTCGGGTTCGACACAGCGGTCTAGTAGCCTCCGTATATGGGCGCACCGTATACCGGGCCTCCATGCCCGTAGGGGGCCACTGGTAATACTTGCACGGGAATGTACGTTCTTCCGTAGGTGTACGACGGGAGGTACCTTTCTGTGCTGTGACCCCACGCTTTTCCTCTGACGTAGTTCTTGTTGTAGTGTTTGCCGCCATAGTCTCGGGCATAGTGGTTTTTGTTGTAGTTGGCTGTAAAAAAGCAAGAACGGTATTACGAAACGTTGATTGATTGATCGATTGATTGATTGGTTGGTTGGTTGATTGATCGATTGGTGGATTGATTAGTTGATTGATTGATGGATTGAGTGATTAATTGATAAGATGGATGGAAGGATGGATGGATGGATAGAGATAGATAGATGGATGGATGGATGGATGGATGGATGATGGATGGATGGATAGATGGATAGATGGATAGATGAATGGATGGATGGATGAATAGATCAATGAATGGATGGATAGATGAATGGATGGATGGATGGATGGATTGATGGATAGATAGATAGATAGATAGATAGATAGATAGATAGATAGATAGATAGATAGATAGATAGATAGATAGATAGATAGATAGATAGATAGATAGATAGGTAGATAGATAAAAAGATAGATAGATAGATAGGTAGATAGATAGATAGATAGATAGATAAATAGATAGATAGATAAATAGATAGATAGATAGATAGATAGATAGATAGATAGATAGATAGATAGATAGATAGATAGATAGATAGATAGATAGATAGATAGATAGATAGATAGGTAGGT